ATCTTGACCAAAGGGCGTCTGCGTGCGATTCTGGCAGACGAGGGGCGGGCGAGGATCCTGGTGGGCCAGCTGTCTACCGTGGGCAGGGACGTGCGCTCCACGACCATGCAGTGGGCGTGGGAGGGGATGAAGTTGCAGGCCGCGGTGAAGCACTTGTCCTGGATGCCGCCGTGGGTGGAGGCCGAGGACCTCGACGGGCGACCGCCGGCGGGGCAATGCTTTATGGAGAAGTTCGAGGTGGAGCGAGCCAGTGGTCGTCGGGAGTGGACGCGGGGGTTGGTACCTGATCCTGTGGGGCTGGGGCGCTTCCCGTCTCTGTGGTGGACGCAGAATCCTCATTACCACGCCGCGTTCGACGTTCAGCGTTTCGATCCCAAGGGCATCTCCTTGAGCGATTTCGACGAGGGCTCCAGGCGCGGGCGCGCGGAGTTCGTTCGGGAGAGCGGGGACCTCGTGGCTCAGCTCGTCGCTCTGCGAGTGGAGCTTCACATGCGCGTTGTCATGCCGGCCGTGGTGCCGCACTCGGACCGTTTCCCGTACATGGCTATGGCCCGGTGGGAGACGGGCGGCGGGGGCAACTTGCATGCCCATGGGTTCTGCGTCGGCTTGCCGTCGCCGCAGGTGGGTCGCGTCGTGGCGGACGTGGGCGGGGAGGGCGACATGGCGCCCAGCACGTCTGAAGAAGATCTTCGCGCAGTGCTGCGCTGGTTGTGGCGCGAGGGCGGGGCTGCGGAGTTGGAGGCCAAGGGGGAGATGTCGCGTCAGGCGTGTTGTAAGGAGCTGGCGGTAGTGCTCGGGCGCGTGTCTGCGTCGGAGGCGGACGCGGCGGGCGGGGGGGCGGCGGCGGCGAGCGGGGCGGAGGCGGCCAGTGGGGAGAGTGAGGGCTCGGACGAGGAGGGCGGCGGCGACGGCGGCGCGCAGCTCTCGGCGGCGAGGGTGCAGAACCTCATGGAGGCGCTCGTGCAGGACGGATCTTTGGTGGCGATGGGCGGTGAGGCGGGGGGGCAGGTCGACGCGCGGTACCGGGTGATCTCCGCGCCGCCGGTCGGCGAGGTCGAGTGGGGGGCGCGGGAGCGGGGCCGGCGCGGTGTGCGAGATCGGCGTCTCGGACCGGAGGCGCCTCGTGATCTCGGAGTGTTGAAGCTTGAAATGGAGCACGTGGACGTGCAGAGCCGATTGGAGCAGCAGTTTGCGGACTTCTTTGAGGGGGTCGTGTCGGAGTGGAACCCGTGCTATGATAATTGCGGGCGCTGTCGGTTCAGGTGGGACGAGGACATCGGGGCGCACGACGTGGAGATGCTGGGGGAGGACGGCGCGGGGTTGGCGGGGGGGGCGTTTGCTGAGCTCTCGTCCGAGGACAAGGCGCGTGTGAGGGTGCGGAGTGCCGCGCCGGAGCGGATGAATCTGCGGGGGCTGCTGGACTCGGTGTTCGCGGTGGGGGAGGGCGAGAAGGTGGACGTGCAGCCCGTGCGGAGGCTCGTCGCGGCCCTGGTCGATCGTGTGGCGCGCCACACCAAGCACGGCATGGACGCGCCGAAGCTGGGCGTGCACGCGTGCGCGCGCGGGAAGGAGCCCTGTCCGTATTGCCGCTATGGCTTCCCGCGAGATCGGTTGCCTCGTGGCGGCGCCCGGGGGATGGTGATGGAGAAGGGGGACCGGGAGGGTCAGTGGCATCCTCGGTTTCCGCGGAATGACCGCCTGTGCTGTAGCTATGAGGAGCACGTTCTGTTGGGGAACATGGGCAACGTGGACTGGCGGCCGGTGCTGAACCTGTGGGCGGTGACGGAGTACGTGACGAAGTACGCTGTCAAGGCGCCGAAGGGTTCCCGGAGGCTGCGGGAGGTCCTGGCGGATGCCGTGGACGAGGTGTGCAAGTACGTGCCGGAGGGGGAGGGGGTGGACCTGCTGAGGCGGTGCATCCAGAAGTTCTTCGCCCGGAGCCTGGGGGAGCGGGACTATCATCTCTTCGAGGCGGTGCCGCTTGGGTTGGGCCTTCCGCAGGTGGTCCCGCTGATGCCGTGGGTGAGCCTGAATACTGCGGGGTCTCGGCCTCTGAAGCCGGCGTCGGCGCTGAAGGAGCTGGGGGACGACGCGGTGGTCCACTACGACAGCAAGGTGGACAAGTTCAACAAGCGGCTGACCATGGTGCGGAGGCAGAGGCGGGCGGGCGATCTGACGGTGGACGAGGTGGAGGTGCGGGACGTGTCTCTCTTCGAGTTTTGGTGGAAGTTTTACGTTGACAAGGGCAGGGTGAGAAGGTCTACCCGGGCGGTGTGCATCATGGTGACCCCGAGTTACAGCGCATACGTCGCTAACGTCGAGCACGCGCATCACGAGGGTTACGCGCGGGCCGCGGTGGTCGCGCACTGGAGGCACATGACTACGGAGCGCCGTCGCCGGCTCATCCGGGAGCAGACGGGCGTGCGCGTCGTGCCCGACGTGTGCATCGGCGGCACGGTGTTCGAGGAGCCCTTCGTGCAGGCGGGGCCGATGGCGTCCGAGTCCGAGCGGTACCTGGGGGTGCAGGATCTGTGGAGTCGCATGGCGGCCCTGCGCCACGATGCGGCGGGGGAGTTTTGGGGGTTCATGCTCATGGAGATGTTGACGGATCCGATGCTCCGGCAGTGGGTGCCGCAGTGGGTCGTTGAGCAGTACGAGCGCGCGAATCCCTTTTACAAGGAGGTTCTTGCGGCGCTGACGGCGGAGCCCCCGGATGGTCTGACCAATCGACGTCTGCTGAGGAGGGTGCGCACGGGCATGATTCATCGGCATCAGGTGCATTTGCGCAGGAAGGCGGCGGAGGGCCGCGGGGGCGCGGTTGATGGAACAGGTGGTGACGGCGACGGCGGGGAGGAGGCTCGCAGCGAGGGCCAGCGTGCAGATTCGGAGGACGAGTGCGAGCGGCTGGGGGAGGGCGTCGACGACGATCCAAACGCGGAGAAGATATTGATTATCAGGGATCCGCGGCCCGGCGAGGGGGGCAACGCGACGGACGGTGGTGCGGGTGGAGCGGAGGGGGAGTGGGCGACGAGGACTCTCGAGGAGAGCCTCAGCGCGGCGGGGCCGGCTCGCGCGGCGCATGACGTGCACCTGGGCGTGGGCGACGGGGGCGGCGTCGGTGTTGTTGCGGGTCGCTCGCTGTGGAACCCGAAGGGGTACGAGTGGACGAAGGATCCGTGCAACGTGTCCTGGCGGGAGAAGTCGCGCTTGGAGGGCCTCAAGGAGGAGTGGTACGGCAAGGGGGACGTGGGTGACGGAGCCGAGGAGGTGGACGCGGGGGAGCTGGACGACTGGCAGCGCTTCGCGTACGACGTCGTCACGGGGGAGAGGCCCGATGGTGCTGGACCGTTGCGTCTCATGCTGCTTGGGACCGCGGGGACGGGCAAGTCTCGCACGGTCAGGAGCTTCGTGGCCAAGAGGCGCTCCCAGGCGCGAGCGCGTGCCCTCGCTCGGAGGGGGGGCGGGCGGCCGGCCGACGCGGAGGTGGAGGTGCGGGCGAAGAACGCGTGCCTGCTGGCGGCGCCGACGGGCTGTGCCTCGTTTCAGCTCAAGTTCGGGGCGACGACGCTGCATCGCGCGTTCGGGGTGCCGGTGGGGTACTGCGGGCCTTGGAGTGCCGGTGCCCGGGGGGGGAAGCGGTACGCGCGCCTCAAGCAGCGTCTGAGGGAGGCCGACCTGCTGCTGCTGGACGAGCTCAGCATGATCGGTCGGGGCATGCTCGGCAAGATCGAGTTCAAGGTCCGCGACACGCTGAAGGGGGAGGAGGGGCGCGCGGTGGTCCGGGAGGGCGCGGCTGCGTTCTTGCTGGGGCGCGACGCGGTGCTGGCGGGGGATATGAAGCAGGCGCCGCCGATCGGGGACGATCCGCTCTATCGCTTCGGGGCGTACCAGGGGGCGGGCCAGAACAAGCCCAGGGGAGCGGCGGTTACGCCCTCGGATGCGTGGTCGTCGTTCCGGCTGCACGCGGTGGGGGGGGACGTCCGGGACACGTTCGAGGACGTGGCGTTCCTGCGGCGGGTGTGGCGGTACGCGGATGAGCGGGGCGACGTGCCGGCAGAGAGGCGGGAGCTCTATCGGCGGGAGGCGGCGCGGTTCTTGGAGGTGACGCGGGGCATGGCGGAGTGCGCGTGGACGGCCGCTGACCACGCCTGGCTGGCGCAGCGGAACCGCAGTCGGCTCCAGCAGACTGCGGAGGGCCGCGCCGAGCTGGCGCGCTTCGAGGACGCCCCGATCCTCATGGACGGCAGGGTGGACAGGGCCACGGGCGAGGTGGGGGCCAACAAGATCAACTTGTTGAAGTTGGAGAAGGTGTCGGCGAGGACGGGGAAGCCCATTGCGCGCCTGCACGCGTTCCACGACACGCCGGAGGGCCTGGAGCACCCGGAGGGGCTGGACGCCGACGACTTCAGGGGGATCCAGAACGAGATCTTCGTGTGCGAGGGGGCGCGGGTGCTGCTGACGGAGAACTTGTGGGTGGAGGCGGGGCTGATGAACGGTGCCATGGGGACGGTGGTGGGGTACATGTGGCCGGAGAACGCGGACCCTCACGACGGCGATCGGGCCCACAAGGGCCGCACGGCCCCGATCTGCGTCTTCGTGCGGTTCGACAGCGTGCAGCTCCGCGACGCGCACGGGCGCCCGCGATCCTTTTTCCCGGGGGACGACGTGCGCGGGGACTGGGTGCCTATATTCCGCAAGACGGTGGCGTCGACGGTGGAGGAGGGCCTGGCACGGTCGAACTTCCCGCTGCAGTTGGCGTGGGCGCTGACGCACTGGAAGGCCCAGGGCATGACGCTGGAGCGGGTGAGGGTGCACTTGTCCGCGAGGACGGCGGGCGCCCCGGGTATCGGGTTCGTGGCGTGCACGCGTGTCCGGCATCCGTGGGATGTTGTCTTCGAGGAGGACCTGCCGGAGTACGAGGCGTTCATGCGAGTTCGTCGCACGCGCGCGTTTCGCGAGCGCCGGCGCTACGAGCTGCGCTGCGAGGCTCGCGCGTCCAGGACGTTGCGGCGGTACGGGTGCTGCCGGGCGGACGCGTGGGCGCCGGTCGAGCAGGACGCTGCTGCTGTGCTGATGGAGGGCCTTCGGGTGGTGGGGGAGGAGCGGCGCGCCGGGCTGCAGGGGTTCAGTGCACGGGGCATGTGCAGGGCGGTGGACGGCGACACGTGGCTGTGGGGAGACGAGTTGCCGGACTATGACGGCCTCCTTGCGACCGTGGTCGAGCGGGAGGCGCGCGGAGATCAGGGTCGGCGACGTTTGCTGCTGTCCGTGGCGCAGAGGCTTCTGGACAACGTGCGCGTGAGGGAGCTCAGCGGGTCGGAGCGCGTCGACGCGGAGGCTCTCCTTGTGCGCCTGGGTGTTGCGCGGGCGGCCGTCGGCCGCGATGGGGGCTTTGGGCGGGTGGACGGCGTGCTGTGCGAGGGCGCCCTTCGCGATGCTGCGCGCGAGGTTGCGGGGGGGTGCGATGAACGGGGGGTTCAGCTGGGCGAGCTGGCGACGGGGATGCTTCGGCGGCAGGACGTGTTGGGGTACTGGGACGGCAGGGTGGAGGACGCCCTCTCGCCGGAGATGCGGCCTCTGCACATGTCCGCGGTGAAGGAGGCTCTGGGAGCATTGATTCCGGCCGCGCTTCACGGGAGTCTGGATCGGTTCGTGGCGGCCCAGAAGGACGTTGCGGTGTTGGGGGGGGGGGCGAGCTACTTGCTCATGGACCGCTACAGGGTGAACGTGCGGTCGGAGGATGCTTTGCGCCGCGGCCAGTTCACGGAGGACGTCCTGGAGTTTTTCCTGAAGGTGTTGCAGCGGATCTGCGGCGTCCTGGCGCTGCCCGTTGCGGTGGCGAGCAAGACGGTCGGTCTGCATGCCGGGCGGGCGGAGTCCGCGGAGCAGTTCAGGAAGATCATGGGTGGCTGGAAGAAGGTGTGGAATCGAGCGGATGTGGCGGGGAAGAAGGAGCTGGTGTTGCCTGTCGCGGTGGACGAGAAGGGGCGCGACTGGTTCTGCGTGTCCGTGAGGTCTGCGTCAGAGGGAGAAGTCCTGGGGCGCGCAGAGCGCTTGGTCGTCCGCGTGTACGATGAAATGCGACGGCAGGGTGCCGCGCGTCGAGTGGCCTTGAACTTGGACGCGTTGGTGCGCGGACCCGCCTCGGCGGTGGCGGGCCAGGCGGGGCCGGAGACGATCGTGGAGGAGGGGGTTCCCGAGTGCCGGGTGTCGCAGCAGCGCTGCCTCTGCGCGTTCGGGGTCTTGCTCTCTCTGGTGTCCAGGGCTGCCGGGGAGAGAGGCTTGGACATGGCGTCGAAGACGTTCGTGCCAGACGCGGGCCAGGCGGTGGCGGCAGTCTTCGCGGGCTTTCGGACGCGTCTGCGGCAGGAGGGCGCTTCGGATGTTTCTGTTCTGTTGGTTGAGGTGGACGCGTGCAGGGCGGTGCTGCGGTCGCTGGGCCACGCGCCGTCGCTGGTGCGCAGGGGCGGCGAGGCCGAGGGGGAGGGCGCGGAAGCAGCGGCCGGCAGCGTCTCCGGGGGGCGGACTTCTGCTCTGGAGCGGGGCCGCGGCGACGGGGCGACCGCGGGGGTGCGGCTGCGCGTGGGCACGTGGAACGTCGCCGGCGGGTCTTGGTCGGCGCAGGCTCCTCCCAGGTATGGGGGGAGAGATCAGAGGGCAGCCTTGGTTGCCGAGATCTTGGGGTGGCGGAGGGCCTTCGGCTGCGACGTTGTGGCGCTGCAGGAGTGCGAGGGGGCGGGCGCGATGGGCGAGCTGCTCGACCAGTACCAGTTCTTGGGCGCCACGCCGGCAGCGGCGACGCGGGGGTACGTCCACTTGTACGTTCGCAGGGGCATGGAGGCGGAGCGGCTGTTGTGTGAGGCTTCCTCGGCTGCTGGCGTGGCTGCGCGCGTCAGGGTGGCGCCGGGCCGAGGCGGTGCCGCGGCGGACGAGGTCTGCGTCTTGGCAGTGCATTTGCCTGCCGGGGACGGCGGCGCAGCGCGCTGCCGCGCTGGGAGAGGCGCTGCGGTCGCTGGACGAGAGCGGGGCGGAGCGTGCCAGGGTCTTGGTCGTGGGCGACTGGAACGTGCGGGACGAGGAGGTCGCAGCGCTGTGCGAGGCTGAGGGCATGTGCGATGCCACGTGCGCTGGGAAGACCTGGGGCGTGAGGTGGAACAGGTTTTTCGCAGATCAGCAGTACAGCGGCCCCGGGTTTCGTTTTGACCGCGCGATGTTCGGGGAGAAGTTGTTTGCCCGGGCGCATGTGATGGCGCGAGGGCCTGTCGTGTTCGAAGGCGTGCAGTTTTGCGCGTCCGACCACTTCGGGTTGATGGTGTACGTGGACGTGGCAGACGTCTTTGCGCTGCGAGGCAGGGGGCGCGCGGAGGCAGCCCGGGTGCGGCGCGGGGAGGTGTGTAGGGTCTGTGAGGTCGGCGGGGAGCGAGAGGCGCAGGAGGTCCGGGATCGCCGGCAGGCTGCCAGGGATCAGCAGGGGCTCGACAGGGAGAGGGCCGCGGAGAGGGACCGCGAGGCGTTTGCGAGGGGCCAGCAGAGGGCGGCTCGCGAGAGGGCACGCCGGAGGCAGGCGTTGCACGATGCGGCTTTCGGCAGGGAGTCGCTGTTCGATGAGGACTTCGTCGTCGAGGCGGAGGGGCTGGGCGAGGGTGTTCAGATCTCCGCGCCGTCTGCCATTGTCGTGCCGGGCGCTGAGGAGTGGCAAGACGGTGGATGGGGAGAGGTCGCCGGCGTACCCGTGGTGGGCATGGGGAATTTGGGGAACACGTGCTACGTCAACGGCGTGCTGCAGCTGCTCCTGCGGGTGTCGTCCGTGCACGAGGTCCTTTCGAGACATGGGCGAGACCGGTGCCCCAGGGCGTTGCTTGGAGAGGATTGTGTCGTGTGCTTGTTGCGGGAGACGCTGGGGCAGGTCATGGCGGCGTCGCGCCGCGCAGGGGTGCGGAAGCCGAGGCTCGCGCAGGAGAGGGCGGCGGTGGACGAGCGGTACGGCGATGACCAGCAGTGGGACGCCTGCGAGTTCTTTGGGCATTGGTTCCACAGAGCTCGTCAGGTTCGGAAGTCGGGCGAGGGCTCGGAGACACGTGGCTGCGAAAACATAATCAGGGAAGTTGTATTTTGCTGGAGGGAAATTCGTTTCACTGATTGTATACTGCGTTATGTTTATTTTTTTGTGTGTGTGTTTGTTTATTTGTGTTTTTGCTTTCGTGTCGCTTGTCTCTCGGAGATTGTTTTAGCGGCCACGGGATCGGCAGCCTTTGTTGGGGCTTCGGCAGGTGGAGCTGGATGCCGGTCGGTGCGTGCCGTGGGGCGATGGATGGCTACATGGGCAGGACGGCTTCCAGGTTACGCACTGGGATCGCCTGTTCAGGAGTGTGACAGAAACGCGCTCGCGGTGCCGCTCGTGTGGTCTTTGCCGTGCCAGGTACGGGTCGGCCGAGATGGTGTGCGTGGTCCCGCCCGAGGACAGGAGGGTGTCGTTGACGACCTCCGAGCTGTATCTGCGCGCGTGCGGGCCCGAGGTGCAGGAGGAGGCGGATCGCCTCGAGTGCCCGAGGTGTGAGTCCCGGCAGGTGCACGTGCTGCAATGGCGGGTGCGCGAGCCGCCGACGGTGCTCTTCGTGCGGGTGATGCGTCCCGTGGCGGCGGGGGGCCAGGGCGTATTGCTGCGCCGGCGCGTGGACGTGGAGGAGGAGATCCAGCTGCCGGGGTTTCCGCGCATGGTGCTGGCGGGGGTGCTCTTTCACAACGGGGCCACGGTGCGTTCTGGGCACTACACGTCCATGTGCCGCGGGCCGGGCGGTATGTTTTGGATGTACGATGACGCGAAGGTTCAGGCGGTGCAGGGCGGGGTGGGGGAGCAGAAGCCGGCGCAGGTGCACCTCATGGTGTATGTAAACCCGCGCGGCGGGGCGGTGTGGGAGGGGCTCGCGCGGGGCGGTGCGGCTCGCGCAGGGGCGGCTCTGGATGGCGGGCATGCAGGCATGCATGCAGTCGTATGCGGCTTATGAGTGCTGTGTGCGGGCGTGAGCGGCCTGCTCCTTGCCGACGGGCTTGAACGGGTGGACCGAGTAGGCGCTGCTGGAGGCGCGCGTTGGCATTGCCCCGGGGCGCGCTCGCACGCTGGAGGCGCACGTGGCCTGGTGGGCGGCCATCCTGGCGGCGCAGGGCTTGTGTTCCGGGAGCTCTCAGGCCCGCGCTCGCCGCGCTATGAGAAACAAAGGTGTTGCCTGGTTTTGGGGTCCTTGGAGTTTCTCAGGGGTGAGGGGGGGCGTCTGTGTGTGGCATGTGGAGTTGTCGTGCGAGTGGCAGGTCGCTTTGATGTTCCTCGTCGGTGCTTTCTCGTCGCCGTTTTCCCTGCTCGCCCCGTCGTCGCCCGCGCTGCTGATTGCTCGGCGCGTCGCCACCTTGCCTTGGGTTCCCATGTGGTTGAGGCCCCGCAAGGATTTATGGGTCAGTTGCGGGTCTCCGGTTTCCCAACAGGGTGCGATGCCTGAGGGCGCGCGGCGGCCGCGTCGGTCCCACGTCGGTCGCCGGCATTGGTTGACGGCGCCCCGAAGCAGGCCACGACAGGCTAATGGAGGTCCCGAGAGGGCACTAGACGGTCCCAAGAGGCCCCGAAGACGCCCAAGCTGCCCTCAAGACGGCCGACGAGGACTCCAACACGCTCCAGGACGGATTCAAGAGGCTCCCCAAGAGAGCCCTTGGAGGCAAGATTCACTAATGTTGCGATGGTTTCTGAAGGATTTATGCGTTCTTGCTCCCCCCGCTTCTCAGCGCTCCCTCTCGGCCTCGCTCGGAGGCCCTTCAGATCGCTCCAAGACGGGCCACGAGGCCCCGAAGAGGGCCCCAAGACGGCCCAGGAGGCTCCTCAGACAACCCAACTGTGCCCCAAGAGCTTCCCAAGAGAGGGCCCAGAGGGGGACCGTCAACCGATATTTCGACGTCTCCGGCCCTAGAGGCCGCTTGGAGGCCCCCAGAGGCCACCGAGAGGGCCACGGTAGCCAGTTCGCGGGGGCGTTGTTCGTGGCTCTCTGTGTCGCTTCTTCTTCCTCTTATTCTTCGTTTGCGTCATCATGGCACGTTCGCGCGCCCCGCAGCATTTGGGTTCGACGCGCCCGGTCTGTTGCCGAGCGCGCGCGGGGACGAGGCGAGGCAGATCTGGTCTTGGGGATCGAATACAATCCAGCCCAGGGCGTGCGGGAGAGGTCGGGGTCGTCGTCGCTGTCGTCGTACGTGGCCGCTGCGCGTTTGTTGCGTCGTGTCCGTTAGAGTTTCGCGGTTCGGTCCTTTGCAGGGTCATGGCGCCCAAGAGGAAGCCCGAGCAGGTGCGGCCGGTTGGGCTCGAGAGGCTGGACGCCAGCATGCGGAACGCGTGCGTTGACGTGCAGGTGCTGGGCGTGGCGTGCTCAGCGGTTCGGGATCGCCTTTGGGCGGCGGGATGGGATGGGGTCGGGAATGGGAGGGGGGGGGTGGTAGGGTGGGGCGGTAGCTCCATGTGGCGGCGCGCGATCGTTTCCTCCGATCCTGGGCGGGGGCAGGTTAGGTATCCAGCGGAGCGGCCGTCGGCTGGTCGTCAGTGGGCCTCTGGCCTTTGCTGCGTGCGGGCGCTTGCGCGGTCCGGTCACTGAGGCGGTGGAGACCTTTACGTTCATCGACAAGGAAGATGGGGAGACGGAGCGCGTGTACGGGGTCGCTGCCGGATTTGCCCTTGGCAGGGTGGTGTCGATGACGTTCTTCGGCGAGGCGGTGGACGAGATGCGTTCGGCGTGCGTGGACGTGCCCGTGGCGCTGCGGCTGCGTGGGGGCATGGTGGGGATACGTCGGTGCCCTGGCGGCTTGTTCTTTGCTTCGTTCGCTTCGGCCTGTCTCTATCGCCGCGTTGTGGTGGTCGTGATGTGGTGGTCGCGATCTGTGTGTGTCGCTCTGCTTGGATCGGTGTTGCGGTCGGATCATCTTGCTCGTTTCGGGGGGGATCGTTTGGGGAGGGGCGCGGGCAATGTTTCTTTCGTTCATGCGAGTTCCCATTATGAGGGGCGCCCGCGTGCGCGCGGGGGACGTTGCCCGCGCGATCGGGGCGGGGTTCGCTGGAGGTCACGAGACGTCCCTGTCGACGATCATGTACGACATGACGTTCGACAGGAAGTTCGGTGTGCAGAAGTTGGCGGCTGGCGCCATCGGGCTTGGGGACGTGCCCGCGTGCGTGGCGACCTCGGGCGGGCGCCCGGGGCACGTGGCGGGCGTGGTGAGCAAGGTCGGTGAGATCAAGCACGTCCACCGCAGCATTGTGACGAAGGATCGGGGCGGCGGGGACCGGAGCGTCGAGGTGATGGAGGTGGAGGTTGCGGTCGAGTCTCCCACGGCGTGCGTCCTTGCTGTGAACGTGTGGGGCAAGGGCGCGCGCGTGCTGCGCGGCGGTGTCTTGGGGCGGGTGCCGCCGTATCCGGTGATGGTGCACGGCTTGTCTTTGCGGCCGGCGGGGGAGGGGAAGCTGAAGGCGACGCTGAGGGGCGGCGGGGCCATTCGGGCCATGGAGGCTCCGGAGATGGTGCGCTGGTACGAGGGGGTGAAGGAGTCCCTGGAGTTGGCGACTCGGGTTTATCGGGCGCCGTCCTTGGCCGATGCCGTGGCCGTGACTGGCGTTGGGTTTCGCAGCTTGCACGAGGCCATCGAGGGCGGCAATGCGGAGGAGGTGCACCACGTGAAGGTGACGGCGTCGTTGGTGGACGTTTACCGCAAGAGAGCGCCTTTCTACGAAGCGTGTTTGGAGAAGACGGTGGAGGGGCGGACGTGCCACACCAAGACGGCGGCGGGCTTCTGCTGGCGGTGCGACAAGGAGGTGGCGAATACGGAGCCGTTCATGTTCGCGCGTGTGCGGTTGCTCTTTGAAGATGGGGCGATGGCATGGGTGACCGTCTTGGGGGCTTCGGGGGAGCAGCTCCTCGGCGTTTCGGCGCAGCACGTGGCGGAGTTGGAGAGCGTGTCCGTCAGCGGTGGTGATGCGGCGCGGAAGAACCTGGACGGCGTCGTGAGGGGGGCGAGGGAGGTCAAGTGGACGGTTGGGGTGAAGTTGGAGGGGTACGAGACGGATGATGGGGTGGTGGCGAGTGCGACCGTCTTCGAGGTGAAGACGGTGCTCAAGCGTTCGGCGGCGGATGCGCTGGGAGGTGCCGGCGTGAGCACGGGCGCGGCGCGGGGGGCCGATGGCCAGGCGGTGTCTCCGAGCGCGGCGACGGCCTCGGGGGGTCGCGGCGATCTATTCGGGTTCGGCGGCGCCGAGGACGGCGGCGGGTTCGGGTTCGGAGGCGGTCCCCCTGGCGAGGCGGCGGGGTCTGGCGCGGCGGCAGCCTCGGCGGCTGGTGGCGATGGGGCGCCGCAGCAGGAGGATGACGCGGAGGAGTGAGCGGATGGAGCCGCGGGGCCGCAGTTTTGAGCCATTCGACCGCCCTGGCGAGACGGCGGGGCCGGGGAGAGCGGCAACCTCGGCGGCTGGTGACGATGAGGTGGCGCAGGGGAAGGATTGGGCCGCGGGGCCGCTGTCGGGTCGCAGTTTTCATTTTCTTGAGGAGGATGAGGTCGGGGGGGCGGTCTGGGCAGAGTGGTTTTTCGGGGCTAACTGAGGTTTGTTCGGGTTCAGATTGTCTTGGAGCCTTCTGGGGATGTTCGGTGGGCTGTGTTGGGTGCTTCTTCGGTTGTCTCTGAGCAGTTTTGGAGGCATCTTGGAATGTCTTGGAGCGTTGGTTAGCCGACAGCGCGAGAACCATGAATAGCTGCAACAGCCAATGGAACAGTTATCAGAGGTGAGGGGGGGAGATCGAAGTGGAACGGAGAGCCCCCCTACCGGGAAATGGATATCGGTTTCGTGTTCGTGCGTGGCGTGCGGGCGAGGCGAAGCTGCGTGGGCGGGCGATAGAAAGTCTCCTGTGGCTGAGGCGCGGCCGGAGCACAAGAACCTTGACTGGGCGGCCGGTGCCCCGCGCGGTTTCCCGCCGGTGTCCCGCTGGCGTCCCGTGTGGCTGAGGCGCGGCCGGAGGGAAAAAATCTTGACAGGGCAGCCGGTGCCGCGCGGTGTCCCGCCGGTGTCCCGCCGGTGTTCCGTCGGTGTTCCGTTCGTGTCCCGATGATGATGTGGATTTCCGTCGGTGTCCCGATGATGATGATGATGACGGTGATGATGATGGTGATGGTGGGGATGATGATGGTGATGTTGATGTTGGTGATGATGATGATGTTGATGATGATGATGATGATCATGATGCTGATAGGATGTTGAGGATGGTGTCCCGATGATGATGCTGCTGTTGATGGTGATGTCGATGATGATGATGATGGTGTCCCGATGACGAGGACGATGATGATCATGATGGTTCTGTTGATGATGATGATAACGATGCTGATGTCGCGCCGATGATGATGATGACGATGCTGATGATGATGATTATGTTGATGGTGTCCCGATGATGATAATGATGACGATGAGGATGAGGATGATGATGATGGTGTTCCGATGATGATGGTGATGATGATGATGTTGATGATAATTATGATGTTGAGGATGATGGTGCCCCGATGATGATAATGATAATGATGATGTTGGTGATGATGGTGATGCTGCCCCAGCTTGCCGCCCCGCCGCGCGGACGAGCTGGGCGACGAACAATGCGGGGTCACCTTCGCGCGTAAGTTGCACGAGTAGGAGGAAAAGGGTAAGGGGGATGAAGGGGAGGGGAGGACGACCTGGTCATTTCGGGCCTGGGCTCTTAAAGACGGGTCGGGAGTGAGCAGCGAGGCTCGAGGACCTGAGAACACGTTGATTCTGTGCCCAGAAGCAGGGGGGCGCACTTGATATGCGCATGGAATTGTTTTGCTCCGTTTCAGATTTCTTTCT